CACAAAGTTATTGTGAAGTACTCGACCAAGGCTGTTTCTTCTCTGCTCAGGTTTGTGACTCCTCCTGCAGGTAGTGGCTATTTAACCAGAAAAAAAAAAAAAAAAACTGCCAACAAGCACATACTATGCAGAACATACAGTGCTATATTTATGGACAGGAGCACCTTTGTTAAATATCTAAACCTAGCAGCAAGGGTGAAAAACAACCATCTGATTATTCCTGCACAACAAGGACTTCAGCCATGCAAACATCCACGGCCCTGAAACCTGGGTGTCGCGTGTGCCAGCTATGAAAGTATACAAGGGGAAGCCCCAAAGTAGCCAAAGTAGCCAATTATGTAAGTCCAGACATGACCTGTTAAACATATGCATTCACATACACTTACCTTTCACTTAATTGCAGATATTAAAAGCATGATCATTCTAAAATGGGCTGCAAATGCCAACAAGCAATCAATGTCATTACAGCTGGACAAGAAAACACTAAGGCCAACTGAATGTATACTTACTTGCACAGAGGACTGGTACTGTGTGTAGATATGTCTCCCTTTCAGAGTACAGCGGTGTGGTTAAAATGCATAAGAAATGTTTACTTTTTTAAAAAAAACTATTATAGTAAAAGACACATTGTCATTATTTAGCCTCAAAATATACCCCATAATTTTGAACAGAATTTCTTCCACTTTGGTCACTTTCTGGGGGGGGACAGGGGAGTGAGAGAGGGACAGAAGAAAGGAAGGAGAGAGAGAGGACGGACAGACAGTGAATGCTGCTGCTGGAGTACCGTCCAGCAGAAAGGAAGGCTCCTAAAAATATCCGTACTCACCTACCTCATTCACCAGCTTTGGCACTCGTGACCTCTAGCTTTTGGACCCAAAGTCCAAAGGACCAAAACAGGTAGACATTTTCAATCAATTCTAGACATTAAGGCAGCCCTATCAGTGCAACTGAAGACACTCACGAAAGAGGACTCCAGAACTACTTCAGACAGCGCCAAGAATGGCGGGATAAGTGTATTCAAAGAAAGGGGAAGTATACTGAGGAAGATAACGGCAATGTAACTTTCGTTTCATTTTTTAAAATTTAATCATTAGCTATATTTTGGCCTTCCCATGTATACTCTATAAAAGTGAGAATATTCTGTGTCAGGAGTGATTGCTGAGTTATTTTTATCAGTTATAGAAACACAAAATTTTGGGGAAAAGACATGTATACTACTTTTATACCAGATATTTTAGATATACTTATTGATATCAATATTTTTATTTCCCTAAAGATGATCATCTCACCGTTTATAAACATCTAGAATAAGTTTCAATATATAATTTTCCTAAATAAAAACACTTGAGATTTCTATTTACACATGAAAAGGGTTTCAAAAAGACCCTTTATGCATTTATATTTCAAATATTTGCAATAATTTAAATATAAATATAAACTGTAAAAGTTAAACAATTAAAACACCAAGAGAATAAATTTGTGAATGCACATTAAATTTATAAGCTTCAAATTGTTCAGATGATTTACTCCAATGTAAAAATAAAGTCTAAGGTGCAAGATTTATTTGACAGATATGGCATATCATGAGTGCTCCAATATCAAAGCGTCATCATGGTTTATGTTGTTCAGATACATTAATCTTCATCTTTCCCTAGATTTTATACATACATTTTAAAAAACCAATTACAAACCTTAAGACAGATGATAAACTACATGGCAGCAACTGTAATACTCCCTAATACAAATGCAATGTTCATATAATCATTGAAACATTTAGAAACATCCACCAACTCAGAACCTGTAATCTCCTATTACACCATCCAGGGCTTAGAAATCTTATGGACAGAAAGCGTGTACCCCATTTGTTCATTATTTCTGATCAAATTATAAAGGTTAGACATTTAAGAACTTAAGAAGCCAGGCATGGTAGCGCACACCTGTAATCCCAGCACTTAGGAGGCTGAGGCAGGAGGATCACCATGAGTTCAAGACCAGCCTGGGCTACACAGTGAGTTCCAGGTCAGTCTCAACTACGTAATGAGACCCTCTCTCAACACCTCCCTACCCCACCGCCAAAAACAAAAGAACTTAAGAATTTAGCCAGAGTCATCATTTTTATTTTTAATGTCCAAAGTAATAAACCGTACTGTTACATTTCCCTTGCCTTAAGATGCCTGCCACATGGAACAGCTGCCTCCATGCTACAATATGGCTTCTCACAACAACGGAGAGGCTGCTTCTTCCCATGAGGCCTCTTCTCCGCCAAAAGAGGAACCTGATACTTGCTACCTCCTAGCAGCTAGTGTCGTCCCATGCCCCTCCTGGTGCTGTCACAGGCTCCTCCGATCCCTTAACACAACCTCACTCACCTCCACCCCAGCTCAGGCTGACCCCATCCCACTCCTATGAAAGACGCTCCCTGTTCTGCCATGCTGCTTCTCTCCTTTGTTCAGAGACAGCCTGGCAGATCCTCCCCATAATAAAGGCTAGTTATGGTTCTGGTCTGATCCTGGTCTTCTGCTCTTTTTACCTGACACATAGCACCCTAACAGCATTTAAAATCTGTTGGGCACTGTTGTTAATTCACTTAACCCTCAAAATACTGTTGTGAAACAAACCCTAACAGTAAGTTCATTTTACAAATGAGAAAACTGAAACAAAAGGACAAAATACTTTCCCCAGATTTACACAGCTTATTATCACAGTCTGATTCAAACTCAGGCTATCTAGCTACAGAGTCTTAACCTCTTAATCAGATTTCTAGATCTCAAGCTATATTCAACATTCCCACCTCTACCTGAAGATCAAAAATACCTGAGGAGTTAAAACATTCTTAACTAAATTCACACCATCTGCCATCCCTTTTGAAAAAATATGTTCACATCCCCAAGTTGTTCCAAACATGCTTGAGATGAAAGACAAAAAGAAAATGGATACAAAATACAAAAAGTTATAAAAAAGCTGAGAAGTGTTACTAATAGTTTCCTAAACACGCTTATTCATACCCTTAAAACATGAAAAAAAACCAATGCCTTTTAAAACAATACAACAGGGTAATTAAAACATGGTACTGTCATAAAGATTTATAGAGCCATGGAACAGAATAGAAAGCCTCAAAATAAACTCACATATATATGACCAAATGATCTTTCATGAGGGTGCCAAGACACAATGGAGGAAGGGTAGTATCTTCCAATAAGCAATGCTTTGAAAATTGAATATCCATGTGCAAAAAAAAAAAAAAAACCAAAAAAGTGGGATGCTTTATATCATAGGAAAAAAAAAACTCAAAATGGATGAAAGACCTAAACATAAGACCCAAAATTATAAACTCCTAAAAGAAAACACAGGGGGAAAGCTCCCTGACAATGAGTCTGGCAAGGACTTGCCTTCTGAGATGACACCCACAGCCCCGGCCATGAAGGCCAAATTTCACAAACAAGACTACAACACTTATCAACTTCTACACAGCAAAGAAAACAACAGAATGAAAAGGTAATCTATAGAATGTGAATAATTATTTGCAAGTCATGTCTGATAAGAGATTAACATCCAGAATATATAATATATATAATATATAATTCAAAACAACAAAAAATCTAAGTAAAAATTAAGCACAGGGCCTACTTAAACAGACATGTCTCCAAAGGAGGTTCATAAGTGGCCAACAAATACATGAAAAGATGCTCAACGTCATGGCTACGGTTTGGATCAGATGGATCCCCAAGGCCTCACGTACTGGATGTACAGTCCCTACGTCGTGGTACTGAGAGCTGGGGGAGCCTTGAAGAAGTGGATCCTCGCAGATAACTGGGTCTCAGGGCACCAATCTCAGAAGGGATTGATACTCCTTTCAGGGCATGGGTTAGGTCTCCGGGCACCAGGCGACTTACTGTAAGATCCAATTGTCACAAAGTGAGCCTGCCCCGTTAGCCTCTTCCGCACACAATGCTCACTGCTCTAGCACAAAACACTTGGCCACGTGATATTATTTGCCATATCAGAGTACAGCATGAGACCCTCACCAGATGTGGTTACCTGACCTTGAACTTTGCAGCTTCAAAAGTCTTAACCAAAATAAGTTTATTCTCCCTACAAAGTACCTCATCTATTATAATCTACTAGAGCAACACAAAACAGGGTAGGATAATTGCTAATCATCAGTGTGATGTTAAGTCAAAAGCAAAATGACATATTATCTTACACTTGCTGGAATGGCCACTACTAAAAATTGTACTATTTTATAAACACTGGCAAGAATGTGAAGAAACTGAAACCCTGTGCACTGTCAGCAGGAATATAAAATGGTATAGCTAATAAGGAAAACAGTAGGAAGGTTCCTCAGAAACATAAACACAGAACTACCATATGATCTAGGCAATCTCACTTCTGGGTATACAACCAACAGAGGTCAAAACAGCATCTCAGAGCGGTATCTGCACACTCCTGTTCATTGAAGCATTATTCACAAGAGTCAAAATGTGGAAGAAATAGAACATGAGATAAGTTTTCCAGTGGCCACGTTTTTTAAAAAGGTAAAGATACTGGTAAAATTAATATTATATTTAACATAATACAGCCAAGATAATTCCAAATACCATCAGTTTTTTAAAGATATATTAAAAGGCTAGAAGTATAGGTCAGTAATAAGCATATGTTCAGCTTGCACAAGGCCTGGATTCTATCCGCGGTATCAATAAAATAAAATATAAAAATTTACTAAGATTTTGTACATTCTCTCTTGTGACATTAAGCCTTGAAATGCTGATATAGATTTTATATTTATCGTATATCTCAATTTATATGCTTAGTTTTCACTGGACCTACTTGATCTATTTCTACAGCTAAAAAAATTTACAGTTTCAAAGTAGATTCACAGATACAAGTTGTTCTAAACAATTTTCTGGTATTGAATCAAATATTCAAGGTTAAATTTAATGACAATTAAATCTAGAATTCAGTTCTTCAATCTATTCATATTTCAAGGAACAGAAACTCACACGGACTACCATATAGACAGTGTGTGTCCAACAAAGGTCCATCCACTTTCTCCAGGTCCACAGCACCTTATTTTTTCAAAAAAACAAACAGTATGTTTATTTAAACTGTTATTTTTCATATTTCACTTTATCACAAATTAATAGCTTCATTCTATTACCTTACTGTGTAGCATTACATAAAACTTCACAAAAAAATTAAATAAGAATTAAAAGTATAGCTAAGAACAATCTGATCTGTGTAAGAGGATTCATCATTATGCACTGTTGTCCCTAATGTGGCTATTTTTTTCTATTTCATGGGCCTCTCAAGAGCCTCAGACTAATTTTCATTTGAGGGAAGACAAAGCCTGTCCTTTAAGCTCTCCCACCGCAACCTCGTCACAGTGTTATGGCCTTGAGTCCACCCAGTGGTAACTGTCCATGTGTTGCCTAGTAACAGACCTGTAGAACTTGGGGATCCTAGGTGCAGCTTCATAAGCAGCCTGGTACCCTAGGACTCCTGCACAGCCCTCCACCACACTCTTTCAGCAGGTGGTGTAGAGCCAAGATGGGCAGGACCATTTCAAGTTTTCAGCCTGATAGACACTCTTGGGATTGGTGACTTTAGGAATGATCTGAGATTCCATGCTACAACTTTCTTCATCAGAGGATGTGCAAGAGGAGTGGTCTAATGGGGCTCTGTTAGCAGCATAACTGACTTGTTGAGTTAATTCCCATTCTTCCCATCTGCCATTAAAAGAAGCAACTATAAATGGATGGATTTTTCACCATACCTACTGCACACTTGATAGGGCTCTACCCATATGGACAGCTCATTTGGAAGTCCCAGGTGAAAATAATTCACTTTATGTTCAGCACAAGCCCTTTTTAAAATGGAGTCATTATTCTGATCGTTTATCCTGATACACCTGATTGCTTGTCCTTCAGAAGAGCAACTGGGCTGCCGGTGACCTCTATATGTTTCAAACAAGATTTTCATCAGTTTTTCTGCGAAGTCATCTATTTGCTGTTTATTCAGTTTTTTATGCTTTTTCACCAATCTTGTGACAAAGACAACTGCTGCTGCGATTTCATCTCTCATGATTTAAGAACCATCTATGAGAGGTCCACCTAAATCTCTCTAGCTCCAACAAGAAGTGGGCCAGAGTCAGAAGACTCTTGCAAATGATTATAACTCACACTCATACCTTCACAGAACCTTATTTACAACTGCTCTCAAGGTAATGACTCATTACTGCCTGAGATCAGCCTCCTCCCAAAAGGAAAATGTTTTGCTTTCAAAAAGCAATCATCATTGAAGTTTAAATGATAGCAAGTGAAAATATGCTAAATCATCCAGGAAAGTGCTAAACAGAGATTAGATGTACTGTCACAAATACAGGAGTCTATGCAATAGATTTTAATTATAATCATCATTAGAAACACCAGAAGTGAAATTTACATCTCCTATTTATGTGAAATTGTCCTCCTATCCTTGGGAATGGCATACACACAAGTCACACTCAAGAAAAGTTGTCCCCTGTCCCAGGTGGAGTCTTTCCTGCTGGTGCTCGGCAAAGACCTGTGGAGGAAGTAAACTGCCTACCTGAGCACTTCTGAAACACTCACTGGCAACTGCTGGGAAGGCCGCTCTGCTCACAACTACCAGCACACATTCTGCTCAGTGGGAATAACATAAAAACAAAACAAGGTAAGATGAATATTGACTTCATTTGGCATAGCATAGACCAATTTACTGATAAATCATTAGATTCCTTAGAAATGTCAGAAGAGAAATATGGCAAATAATTACAATGTGTGTATACTAAAAGACTGATGCAAAATGACATCACACAAAGCTTTCTCAACAAAGAAACACTGTTTCTGTGACCATCTCTAAAAAGTTTATAAAACTAAGAATTTTAATTACTAAATAGCTCCTGGCAATAATATTAGGTAACACATCACTCCACTTACTCTACGCAAAGAATTTCTTAAGCAATTTACCTGTATCGATCTGTTTAATCTTATACTGTTTACCACAATAACTTTTATCAAGTAAGTAACTTATAACGCTCATTCTGAGGATAAAGAAAGGAGTGGGCTGGGGATTTAGCTCAGTGGTTCTGGCTCCTGCCTTACAAGCACAAGGACTGAAAGAAAGAAAGTAAAGAGCAGTTAATGAACAAAAGTCACACAAGTGATTCAGAAAGGACCTGAGATTTGAGGCTGAACAGTCCAGCTCCAGAGCACATGCTTTTTGCCACTATCCAGTACACTGTCTAATTCATTTTGGTGCTCTGAGAATTTTAGAAAAACCTATTCAAATCTTTATATAGCACTCTGACAGATATATACAGATGAAAGCTTTCTTTCTATATCTTCACACCAAAAATGCCCAGTAAACCATGCATTCACTGTGATCACCACCTCTCCTCCTAACTCATACACATGGGAAATCTGTCTTCAGAATGAAGTCAGTCCAAGCATATTAGGGAATTCCTACTTCACTGCCTCCTGTGGATTTCATACAATTGAATAATGATCCCAACAAAAGCCCCACGGATTACCAGTAATCTACAGGAACTGTTAACCAAGGAATTGCTTCCAATATCACAAACTCCAAATCACTTCTAATAAAGGAGCACAGAGCACACAATGAAATCTCACCTACAATTTAAAAATTCACTAGTTTATTTTAGAAAATATTTCTAACATCATATAACAAGGTGGGTAATGAACTGTCAACTGCCTGTTTCAAGTTTCCCTACTCTTTCTTGTTTGCCTTAGAAACTGAGGGTTTCTGAGGGTATTGGCCTATGAACAATAACAACAAAGGGAACTCAGAGTGAAGAAAGAGAAAAAAGGACCTGGCTATGCTGCCCCCCCAGCCTTTATCAGAGATCTATATTAAACTGTGGTGTTCTACCCTGCCTATTCTTGTTCTACAATTCCTTCTTTCCCGTGCCATTTGTTTAACCACATATATGTGTATGTATTAACATGTTAAATATTGTGTAATATGTTACAATCTTCTATATATCACCAATACGGGGGGGGGGCTCATTACAAAAAGGTAAGGATCGTGGATAAAGTTTCCAAATGGCTTTAACAGCCAGCAGACCTGAAAGTAAAAAAGGAACAACATTGATCCTAGAATTTATTTTTAAACTCTCCAAAAAAGAATAACTTAGCTGGCCTTATATCTAAGACATTTCCATGTTTGATAACTGATTGAGCTTTTTATGTCCTATGTAACTCTTTAAGCCAAAATATTCCACAGAGCAAAGCCCATTTTAAAGTACTCTGCCCCACACCAAGCTTCTCTCAGAAGTTGGTATTTCATTTTCCAAACTCCTTTTGGTAAATTATTACATGGAATTGCATTCCAGTATTTTCTAATGAAAGGAATCAAACATTTTGAGGCCTATAAATTCCTCCTGGTTGATCATGAATTTAACAACCAGCCTTTTCTATTGTTTTCCATTCCAAATCAACCTTCAAAGTTGCAAGGGCTGAAGTTCTAGAATCAGAAAAAAACTTGTTGAGCAACCAATATCAAGAGTACCTTATTTCAGTATTCAATAGAGCTATTTATACTAAAATCAACTTCCATAAACAACCAGTACTGATACAAACTACCTGAAGGTCTCAAGACATAAATTCTATGAAAGCAAGGCATATTTTATTGCAACTTCATATTTTGACAGAGCTGGGGTTTTTTTAGCATTGGCGTCACACCCTACAGACACAGAAATATTAGTTAGGATTTGTGTAGCAGTAGATGTGTCTAAACTCTTGAAATATATGTTAATCGTTAAGTTTATATTCAATCTCCATCCCCCTATGTGCACACACAAATACTCAACCTGCTCTGATAAAATCAACTATTATACTTGCTTTCCTCTCTCAGCTGCCAAGTCATCAGATCCACCCACCCGGATCCCCTTATGACTGTAAAGTTTATGGATTACTTATTTTTCCTGGCTTTCTTCCCCTGACACAACATAACCACTTTCCTTTTATCGAGTTCTGATCAATTCTCAGAAGTAAGGAGGGTGGGAAGTTAGTGAGGAACAGTAGCAAAAGATGTTTCAAGATTTTCCTTTCTTACTTGGAATCTTATTTGCAAAGAACTTTACAGTCACATCAGAGCTATCTTGTAACATGCTGAAAAAGGAAGCACTCATAATACCATTTAACACAGAAAACACCAGGCTAATAAGCCAGCTACAGAAGACCACTCACACTAGATACCAAGTATAGCTGACATGCAAGTTGGCCTATGCTGCATCTAATCTTTTAATTTCCTGAGCTATCAAGCTCCATTTTTTTTTTTTTTTTTATTAAAAGCTGACATCACTCATGTGAAGCAAAGTAACCTTTATACAGCAACAACCCACGGTCACAGTACCAGCTTGTCCTAGTAGCTAGACTGCTAGAACATCTCCGGCCCTGGGGTGTGGGGCAGTTCACAGGGAGAGAACAAACGTTTTCAGAGTGGATGAAACCCAATGGATGGTGCAATCTCAGGGGTAAGCTTTTCTTTTAAGGACCTCAAACACCTAGAGCTCTCTTCTCAAATTATATAATCACATATTTCTTGGTAACAATGCAGTTGTTATCCAAATAAACTTTATATTTACTCAGGAAATGGTTGTGAGGGAAAGTTTACTAAATCACACAGAGGACTAGCATCCATATGCAAATCTCACAGAGACTCTTATCTTCTCTTACCTGGCAAGGTCCCAAAGGCAAAACCAGTTTTAGTGAACCTTGTGAAAGTACAACCTAAATGTCACTGTAGGTTTACTAAAAGGCTGCAAGGCACAGAGAGGCAGGCAGGGAGG